GGTGTTTTAAAATTTTAAATTAAAGTTTGGTAAATCAAAATATATATCATGACAATTTAATCCTAATTAAACATAATTTTAATTGGATTATTTGATATTGATGCTATTGTTGCTTCTGGCATTTGGTAGTACAAGTTCCAGATTAACCAACTGGCCAAATATCTTCACCAAATTATATAACTATGCAAAACTTTTAATTAGATATGTCATTTCATATCTAATACTATAATTAATTTCCTTTTTTTCTTTTCTCAATAACAAATTGATGTGCCAAACTATTTCTCTTTTTTTACATAAAGGCTGGTCAAAGACTGCAATAAAGATATCTGATTTGATTAATCAACTGGATCTCCTAAGGGGGCAACCTATTTTTGTGAAGGAAGAAACTGAAGGAAATTTAGTACTGAATTTCCTATTCTTGTAAATCATTGGAAGATTGCTTTCAAGAATGTAACATGAGTTTATTTAATCTTTAAAAGAGATTAATACAGCAGAACATTTTGGATAATAGGACACCTGGAATCCATAATAATGGTTGCAGCAATCCAGCCATTGGAGAAGCAAGCGAGAAGTTGGAACGTTAATCCAGATGAACAGGTTTCATCTAATTATTTCTAGATTTAGCATTGCCGTCTACACAATTGTTAGCTGGACTGAATGATGTAGATCATTCAGGGTTAAGGAAGCATAAGGTCAGATCTGGAATTTATCAAAACATCAAGCATGTTGACTTTTTCACATAGGATAAATATATACCTGATATGAAAACTGGATTGTAATTATGTGATCGACTGCTATTGTTTGAATGTGGTTTGAAGAATTATCTTGAATAATGTGGAATTATCTTCTTATAATCTTAAAATGAAATTAATGCAATGTTTTTGGTACTGTGTATATTGACATCTCAATAAATAAAGGGTGGTTATCATTAATGCTGTTGGAGATGCATTTCTGGAAAATTAACATGTTCTATTGTTGCCAAGCAGGATTGTTAAAATAATGCAGGATCAATTAATATATGTTAAGCATGTATATGTAGCTCTTGGCTATATTATTTGGCTTCTATCAAGACTTCGGATGCATGAGGGCTACTTAGAAGGATTATTATATAATACTGAAAAGAAAAATCTGCACAATAATGGATTGTTATTAGATATTGTATCTCAATCTTTGAATTATCTTTCCTATATTAATGTAACATAATTTCCCCTGCTTTTTTCTTTCCCTTTTTTAAAAAAAATCAGGATTATCATTTGATGTTACATTATTTTCTTAGTAATGGTGCATGAATAAATAGATAAATAGATGGATGGATAGATAGATAGATAGATAGATAGATAGATAGATAGATAGAAGATAGATAGATAGACAGACTTTTGTTAATTGTTATGATACAGCTCTGAACCTCAGTGACTAAGAAGTGAATTTGAACAAGGATCTCCCTATTGCCAGGCCAACACATCAAACACCATTTGCAATACCTTACTCTGCATTTTCTTGTGCAAGTGTGACCAACTAATTCAACCAAAGTCAAAAATGAATGAAGAGCAGCAGAAATATTCTGGTTTGGTGTTTCCATTCATCTGATAGGTGAGAGGCAATAGATGGCTCTTGATCCTCTTTTCTATTGCTGAGGAATTGTGATTGTCTGCATCATTCAATCTTGGCAACGTAGTTGCCCGAAAGGTAGAGTATGGTTTCCTTCCATTTTAAGGTTGTTGTTCGTCCATCGATTTCGATGAAGACCTTGGCATCTTGTGGGTTATGGCCCATCAACGATGTGTCCGTAGGTAGCTAATAAGACCGATGTTAGCACGGAATGTTCTGCCACATACTGAACAAAGAAATGTAGACACTGTTAATTCAGCATTTGCAGCTCTGGCTTTGCAGAGTGCTCGCTTTTCTTGTGCCAAGATTGTCCTTCTGTGTTCATATGTCTGGCAACCCTGGTACACCAAGCTGTGCCATGTCGGTCAATCATGCACCAGACGTCCCCAAGAGATGGTGTTAATATCCAGGGACTTAAGAGAAGCTTTTAACGTGTCTTTGTATCGCTTCTTTTATCCCCCGTGTGATCGCTTTCCTTGAGACAGCTGACTATAGAAGAGCTGTTTAGGGATGCGATGATCTGGCATCCTTACAACATGGCCTGCCCAGCGCATCTGGGCTTTCATCAACAGAGTGTAAACTGATGATAAACCTGCTCTGGAGAGGACATCTGTGTCTGGTATCTTATCCTGCCACCAGATCCTCAGAATTCTATGAAGGCAAGTCATGTGGAAGTAGTTCAGTTGCCTAACATGCCTCCTGTACACCGTCCAGGTCTCACTAGCATACAATAGGGTAGTTAGCACTGCTGCCTGGTAAACTTTAAGCTTGGTAGCAAGACTTATTCCACGGCGGTCCCACATGTTAGTCCGCAATCTGCCAAATGCAGAACTTGCCTTGGTAATTCTACAGTTGACCTCGATGTCAATTGTCACTGCACGGGAGAGGATACTACCAAGATATGTAAATTGGTCCACTGCTTGCAGCCATTTTAAGGTAAGGAAATATAGAAGACATCCTGTACAATCTAAAACAGTTTTTGTGGCTTTATATAGCTAACAAAGAAACATCACAGAGACAAAAAGGTCAATATCCCAGAAATAATATTTTAGCTCTGTGTAGTTTTGTGACATGGTCCTGCCCACTCTGGGTCATCACCACAACCAATGGGCCCCCTGCTAAAGGGTTGTCCACCTCTGCTTTTTGGGGTGCATCATACAAGACTGATGCAGTTCTGGGCTTTTGATGCATAAGGCTTTCTAGTCCTTGACAATCAAGAATTGTAAACAAGAAGGAAGACAACAGACAATGGATTAGATTAGATTAGGAGGCAAGCTGGCCAAACTAATAGGCTTTGGTTTAAAATAACTCTCTCCCTCAAATAAGAGAGAAGGAGGCTGGATGAAGGGAAAGGACAAAAGGGATAAATTTAAAGGAGAAATCAGAACTGGAATAGTTTGTAGGAAGCTTTTTTGTTATCTGTCAGAAGATACTGCAGCTCTTGCTGAAAAACAGCAAAGACTTCCATGCATCACATAATCAAGGTATAAGATTTTATGAAATAAAATTCACCTCACTTACTGTGTCACTGTCTCTAAGGTGCCCTAAGATCCTTTGCAGGATTTGGAGTGGGGGGGAGCAAGGAGGCATTTTAACATCCAAATAGGAGGGAAGAGGCCAGAACATTTCCTTTGTATCCTGTTGGCCACAGATTCAATCTTTTGTAGGTTTGGTTTTAAAAAGAGTGGTGGAAAAAAACATCTGTTTGAGAACATGGAAGATTGTTGCAGGTCAGAATGCATCAGTTTAGACTGTAGAGCAGGGGTAGGCAACCTTGGCTCTTTTATGACTCATGGACTTCAACTCCCAGAATTCCTGAGCCAGCATGGCTCAGCTTGGAAACCTCTCCCTTTCCCCTCAGCAGGGCTGGCTCAGGAATTCTGGGAGTTGAAGTCCACGACTCATATAAGAGCCGAGGTTGCCTACCCCTGCTCTAGACTATAGGAACAAACTGACAGATTGAAGGCCGTTTCCAAATGACAATTCTCAGGCTAATGTAGAATAATCTGATTTAAATTCTGGGATTGCAAGGCATGTTTCATTAAATGTTGCAACACTTTCCTAACTTTTGGGGTTGAAACGGTTGTCCTGTATTGCATTATAAAATATGAAAAATGTGGTTTGCCACAGCTTTATATCAGAGCACCTGTGGTGCTCTTGTCAGCCTTCAACTCAACTTGACCTAGGATAAGGCAGACGGCTATTCCAACTTTAGAGTAGTTCAGCTGGGAAACACTGCCTCTCTTTCAATTCCAACCTTGTGATGAGCAAGGATGACAGGAGAGATGGGCCAATCAAGAAGGAAGCTAAAATGAAAATAGTGAAGAAGAAATAGTTCATAGAGGTGTGGGCATGTTCAAGGTTTAGTGAATAAAATGGCCCCTTTGTGATAAACTGAATACCAAATAAGGCAAATGTGATGGCCTGAGTGAGTTCACTTTCAAAGGAAACCAATTAGAGCTTTCCCTGCAACTCTTTCCAATTTTGAGAAGTGGGGGAGGTGGCCCAATTAATATGATATTCCAAGCTTCAGATTGGGTGGAACCACATATTGGGTTGGAGAAAAGCAGCTGATAACTCCTCCCTTCCAAGGACTCTTTCCATCAGGAGATACTTGACCAGATTCCTGTGGAAGGAGAAGTGGGACTAAGTGCCACTTGACTTTTCCTCTCCTAGAACAGCCCACTTAAATGCTCTTAGGACAGTGTTTCTCAACCTTGATAATTTTAAGGCATGTGGACTTCAACTCCCAGAATTCCACAGCCAGCAACGCTGGCTGTGGAATTCTGGGAGTTGAAGTCCACATACCTTAAAATTGTCAAGGTTGAGAAACACTGTCTTAGGTGGTGCACTTGCATTCACCTTCCTCTTTTTACTCCTTCCTTGCTGTATAATTGTGAACTGCAAGTGTAAATGTATTAAAAATAATTTTCAGAATCATATCAGGATATGTTAGAGAAACTTAAGTTTAGTAGAGAATATTCCCTTCCCCAGAGTCTTCCATTTTCTAACATAATTAGCTATGGAGAATAAGATAAAAATCTTACAGGATTCCAGTTCATTAAAGCACATATTACTATGTTAGTTGGGTGTCCTATTGGGAGCAAAGTAATTTTCTTAGCAGGCATTCATTAAGAATATCTCTAAGGAGCTTTTCAAAGTAGATCCCCAATTATGTCCAATATTCCAGTAATTCTTATTGTCTCCCCTCATTGCTTTTATGAAACTTCTTTCCAGCCCACCAGATCTGCTTTTCCCTCTTTGATTAAATAGAAAGATTCACTCTATCACTAGCTGACCCATTTCAGTTGATGAATCCAACCAAATCCCCCTGCTGGCTACTATGCAGTGTCTTCTTACCCAACTCCAAATGCGAAATAGAAAATCATTACCTTTTTCCCTTGAGCCGCACCCATAATTTTAGTAGTTCACTTCTTCCCCTGCAACACTTTGAATTTCCCTCCAGGGTTTTGTTGCATGTGGACGAAGGAGAAAGTCAGAACACCAGCCCTATATGGAGCTGTCTTATTCTGCCAGGTTCAAAAAGTCCAGGGCACTTTTTGCAGAGAGATGTCTCCGGTCTTCGGTCTTGCAGAGAGTGATGTTATGCAGCTCCTTGCACTCCCATTTACTCATCGCGTAAGAAGAGTCAGAAAACAGCAGCAAGAGGTTCAAGGGGACGAGCAAAGCAGTTCCCCCTTGATGGCTGACCCTGGCATGTAAAGAATTCATTTTTTGAATATACCTAACAACTGGCTTGCATACTGCCCGGGGCTACATACAAAGGCAGCTTTCATGCTGTGGATGGCCATCTCCTTAACAGAGCTCCTTTTTTTTTTGTCAAAGCCTCTCGAAGATTAGATTAATCAGACTTGACACAACAAGATGTCACTGGGAGCAGAGCTGATCAGAGGAGGAATCCAACCTGTGCTACACAGCTGGGCCACAGCAGCGGGAGCCCTTTTTCCTGATCAAGGATTTGTGCCATCCTTCCCTCCTCTCCCCTCCCTCTGCCCCCAATTTGCTCCTCACTTCAGTGCAGCCTTGGGAAAAACAACAACAAGGAAATCAAAGCCCCAAGTGCTGCTTTAAGAAGAAAGAGGAGGAGGGAATCTGGATGGGCTCTGCCTGTCTCAGCATCCTGTAAGCTCCTGCTTGACTTTCAGATTCCAACTGACCTCATATTCTGCCCCGGCCTTTTTCAAAGAGGAGCCCAAAGGATGGCATTGCCCAATAGAAATGTAGCAAAACATTACAGTGGACCAAACGGCCCCAGGAGGGTCAGGCCAAGGGTCTGCTGCACATGGTTTGATACAAACTCTTTCCTCTTATTGCTTCCAGTCTCCAAAATTTCATCTACCTGCCTGAGATATGTGATAATGACTTTCATGGTGTGATGGATAAAAACATAAAGGAGAATATTTGTAGCTCAGGGTTGAAATAAGGAGTCCTTGATGCTCTCTGAGGTTGATTGTTTTCTTGCAGGCATTTCATTGCCCAAACTAAGTAACATCATCAGTGCCAGGATAAAAGCATGTTGCGTGAGCCAGATTTTGCAGCCAGAGCTCAGATTAAGGAGGGAAGAAAACAGGGCTCTTTCAATCCCCAAATCATTTGATTAATTCATTATTGTCCCTCCCTAGCGTGAATCCTATCTATCTCACAAATTGAAAATGGATAGATTTGACAGAAGAAGATGTTTATAGGCAGTGCTTGGTACCATGGTAGCCTCCACTTTCCCAAAACTGTCATTCACCACCAATGGGCAATTGCTTACCACAGAACAGAGATACATCACAAGGTCACATTTGTTATTTTATGCAAATCTCCTACACTTTGCAGAATCCAAGGCACTGGATATACTTTCAAAATACTGGATTTCTGGGAGGACTCGATGCAGGAACAAGAATTTTGGAAAGACTAGATTTGCCAAAGAATGCAATGCCAGTTTTATAGCTGTCTTGAGAACATGAAATAATATTTAAAATGAGAAAATAGCTTAATGTTAGCTTTATACTCCTTTTAGAAGACAACCATTTGGCTAGAAGTGACTTTACCTGGAGACTGTTTGAAATACTGTTCTAAGAAAAGGCCTTGACTTCATTGGCTCTGTTGGAAGAAAAATCAGGTCTGAGAGAAAGACGCTGAAATAAAATGGAGGCAGGCTGCAGGAAAGAAGGTCCCTGTTTATTTGGTAGCCAGAAACTACTGACAGCAGCATGTTTTGGGGGGTGGGTGGCTGACAAAATGGGGTTGAGAGTGGATGGATTTTTATACATTCTTTCGGGCTTTGTGATTGAGATGCCTGTTCCTGTGTAAGAATATGTCCTTTAATATTTTAATGGCTGTTGCCAGATTCCTATGGGGTTGTGTAGGGGGTCATGGCTGGCTCTTCAGGCAAAAGAGGAAATGCAAACCCTAGGTGTTTTGTCTGAGCTAATCTTGTCCATTTGGGCTCCTTGCCTGTTGTGTTGCTTATTTAGGGTTTTTGGCTGCTCTTTGTTTCTGAATAGTGTGGCCTAGCTTTCTGAATGGATGCAAAATATCCATTCCTAAAGACTAGTCTCTTCAATATTTTGCTTGAGGCTGTTTTCCTATAGCAAGAAGACTGGGGCTGCTTTCTGCCTTTGTTAAGATGTTTCTGTTCTCCTTTAGATGAAATATTCTATCCTGCCTCTTTTAATACCCAGTGTATATTTTGCTGCAGTTGCCTTCCAAATCTTTCCATTCTCCTGTGGAAAGCCAGCCAGAAACACTCAACTGGAGAAGGATGATTACCAGAACCCCAGGATTATCACAATGTAGATTGGGAGTCCTAAACTCCCTCTATTATTCTGGTGAGGAGATCTGGACTTGCAACTCCAAACCATTTGGATAGCAATAGATCTGAAGGCAATTCTAATCCATATTGGAGCAAAAGAGTATTGAGGAAGGAAGAGAAGTACCTGTTTTTGTCCTACTAGCCCATAGGCAAAAGCTAAATGATATGAAGTTAAAGAAAGATCAGACCAGAAAGGCCCCCAAAAGGTCAATAAAGCCCATTATATAATTTTCCTCCTTCCTATGGAACAATCTAGATACACATTGTCAATGTTTTGCTCTTTTCTGCCCAAGTTCATGGTTTAGATTTAACAAATACTACATTTCCAAATAATATTGAAAAAAGTAATTTGACAGGCAGCGAGGAAAACATCCACCAGGACTCACTTACTGTGGTATCTGATGTCTTCTTGGCATCTTTATAGAAGACTTGGGGTGAGTGGGGCTGGAGGGCTTTGAATATATTGTTCCGAGCCTTAGAGTAGCTGCAAATGTTTTGTGTCTTCAATAGATGGATCTAGAGCAGTGGTTCTCAACCTTTTTAATGCCACGACCCCCAACCGGTCGTAAGTCGAGGACTAAACCGGTCGTAAGTCGAGGACTAAACCGATCGTAAGTTGAGGACTACCCAACCGATCGTAAGTCAAGGACTTTCCCTGCCCGGGAGCACCGTGCATGCGTGGTGCCGCCTCCTGCACCAGCCGAGGCGTAGCTGGCAAGCGGCAGAGACGGAGTAGGCTGACCACCGGCTGGGCCACCAGCTGGCCCAGCCCAAGGGAGATAAGGCACCCACCGGAAAAGGGTGAAAAAAATGGCAGACAGCCTTGGTTGGCGACCCCCATGAAATGGTTGATAGACCCCAAATGGGGTCGCGACCCATAGGTTGAGAACCGCTGATCTAGAGGATCAGTTGGGCATGTTAAGTGCCTCTTTGGTTCATCTGTGCCTAAATCTAGGTTTCCCCCTTCCTTGGTTCCCAGGATCTATCAACCTCTATTGATATTCTTGTTTTCCTATTGTATTGTCAACCCTAAAAGCTAGACCAGACTAAGAACCCAATGCTATATTCTTTAGATCAGCATTACTTTTATTTTAACTTAGCTATAGAAAGACTCTTAAAATTCTGAATGTGTTTCTCCCCTCCTTCTCTTCATGTGAAGTAGGGAGAGCCTTGTATGAGATGTTTTCTCAAGATGCTTCCTTGGCCATGGCTCAAATCCCTCTTATCTACTCATTGCCTTGGTAGGGGCTCTTCTTCCTGTCCTTCAAGGCTATTCCCTCCGCCCTTTCCATATATTGGCTGCTAGAAAGTAATATGTGACAAATTTCATCCTTACTGGGAATTGTCAGATTGCCTCTTCAGGATTGGTATAACAAAAATCCCTATATAGGATATACACTATATTAAAATAGGGAAATTTCCTTCTCTAAAAGGATGATTCATGTAACCTTGAAGTTGTATCACGTGTCAGAATGGTACACCTTAAGCCATGACCCCATGAATTTGTGTAAAGGCTCATACACGGGGACATGACTTAATGTAACACCTTCTTTTGCAAAATTGAAGGAATATACCATTCTGATAGATTCTTGCTTTCTAAAGCTCTGATTCTTCCCCTTTCCTTAAAAGTTTCTAGTACCACAGTCCATACTATTGAAAATGAAGCAGAATTGGGTGTTTATGGGGAAGAAAATGGTGATGGTGATGAAATACATCCTGAACTGAACACTGGAAGATTTTCTAAATATGAAAAATATGTGTTAGGAAGAAAGGCTGTGGACTTAATTCAAGAGAAATAGCAATAACAATAGCAATAGCACTTAAATTTATACTGCTGCATAGTGCTTTACAGCTCTCTCTAAGCGGTTTACAGAGACAGCATATTGCCCCCAACAATCTGGGTCCTCATTTTATCAACCTCAGAAGGATGGGAGGCTGAGTCAAACTTGAACAGGTCAGGATTGAACTGCTGACAGCTGGCAGAGTTAGCTTGCAATACTGCATTCTAACCACTGTGCCATCACCTCTCTGAAATATCCTAACAGAAAAATTGGGGGAGTGTGTTAAAGATCTGAAAAATGGATATTATAGAGGAGGGAGATTTCAGGGGAAAGGGATAATGGTGATTCATGTCAAACATGGGACAAATCAACTTGGTGATATTCTATTTGCCACATATGGGACTAAAAAGCAACATATAACTATGCTATAAAAAGAAATGTAAATGAAATGCACTGATTTTAATACAAAAAGCATGGATTACATTATTGCATATTTAAATGATTGGACATCAAAGTACGTTATTTGGGCTAGAACTTGTGTGTCCCTTCAGGTTTCGTCATCTGGAAAAGAGTTCCTTGATTTAAAGAAACCAACTTATGAATAGAAAGTCCCAACATTTTCTTTCTCGTTATTTCTTCCTAAGGAAAGATCTCCACCTGCTGGTTACAAGATGAAATTGTAACTTGTTGTTTTATCCTTGGAGAAATTAGAAGAGTTTACAGAAATAAGATAAGCCAGGGCAGCAGCTTCGTCTGAAATTCCTGTTGCAAAGAAAATGTATTATATTTTACCCCCAAAATACAGAACAAAGCGAACAGGGTGGAGTGACAAGTGAGCTATTTCAGGCTTCCGTCAGTGGATATCTGGAAAACCATGACAGCAGTTCTGCTTATTTAACTTATTTAATGGTTCTTGTATTACTTTGTCAAGATTATCTTCGTAATTTTATACTCAGGGTTGTGTGTTACTTTGGCCTTGTCTTCCTTGAAGCCCTGGTCCTTTCCCCAGGCCTTGGGATGAGGAATGGTTTGCTTAGGCAGGCTCCTACAAAGACGAGGGGGTCAAACTATTTTCCAAAGCACCAACAGGCAAGATGAGAAACAATGGGTGAAAATTAACCAAGGGGAGAAGCAATCTAGAACTAAGGAGAAATTTCCTAATGGTGAGAGCATTCAATCAATGGAACAGCTTGCCTTCAGAAGTTGTGGGTGCTCCATCATTGAAGGCTTTCAAAAAGAGACTGGATAGTCACTTGTCTGGAATGATATAGGACAGTGATAGTGAACCTTTTAGAGACTGAGTGCCCCAAAACTGCCCCCCCGCCTGCCCTGCGCCCCACTCGCCTGCAGGGCCACTCACTACCTCCGCGGCCCACTGCAGGAGATCGCCCAGGCAGCCCTGAGCACAATGGCAGCCACACCCTCTGCCTGCACCCCGAAGCATTATCTGCATGCAACAGAGCGCAAGGATGGAGTCTTGTCCCTGCTGCCCAGCTGCCGTGTCCTTGGCTGTGCTGCTCCACATGGGCTGCACCTGGGGGTGACTCTCCTCTGGGAGTCTGCTGGTGAGGAGGTGGCCGTGCGGAGAGGCAGGGCTGGAGCGTGCCCACAGAGAGGGTTTTGAGTGCTGCCTCTGGCATGCGGGCCATAGGTTCGCCACCAATGGTATAGGACAGTGATGGCGAACCTTTTAGAGACCGAGTGCCCAAAAACTGCCCCCGCCCCACCTGTCCCACCCACTCCACCCCCAGCCTGTTCCGCCTCACTCCTCCCACCTCTACGACCCACCGCAGAGCATCATGGTGGCCCAGCAGTGCCATGGCGGCCATGCCCTCTGCTCGCATCCTGCAGCATCATTTGTGTATAGAGTCTTGTCCCCGCTGCCCAGCTCCGTGTGCTTGGCTGTGCTGCTCCACATGGGCAGCACTCAGGGGTGACTCTCCTCCAGGGGGGGCTGCTGGTGAGAGGGTCACAGGGGGAGGTGAGGCTGGGACGACAGCAAGTGTGCCTACAGAGAGGGCTCCGAGTGCCACCTCTGGCACGCGTGCCATAGGTTCACCACCATTGTTATAGGATCTCTTGCTTGAACAGAGGATTGGACTAGAAGACCTTCAAGGTCCCTTCCAGCTGTATTGTTGTATGTTCTCTGTTCTACAGTTGTCTTGTATTAACTTTGAGGTTTTATTTGTTTTGTTAGGTCATGCCATCTAGCAGATTTTGTTTAACTGCTTGAGTAAACCAATCAAAGCTGATTGATTTGGGCAGCTCTGTAAATCTGATAAAATAAATAAATATAGAAAATGACAGGAGGAGGCCTTTCAAATCTCTTCCAAGATTAAGATTTTATGACTAACAAACTAGACCCAGAGTAGACGAGATTTGTGGAAGTCAAACTGGTTGGACAAGACTGCTGGGAGCAAATATTTTGTTAGGCAAATTCAGCCAGGTGTTTCCATGAGAACCAAGAAAAGAAAGGTATTAGCATGTTTTCTATCCCCTCCCTACCTAAAAAGAGGAGACAAAACAGTTCTCTGAGCGAGAATGGCTTGAAGAATGAGATTTTAGATTCTATCAGGAGCAATAGCACTTTGGAGAATTGATGTGGAAGCAAGAAGTGGAGTTACTATCTGAAGGATGAAAACTGAGTATCTTTATTGGGTTCAATCTATATATTTTATACACAAGCATAAACATTTCAAAGTGCCAATAAGTGGCAGAAGGACTGATAGAACCTGGGGGAGAGGTGAAAAGAGGGATCAACCTAGAATCACTCGTTGTTGTTAGTTGCGAAGTCGTGTCCGACCCATTGTGACCCCATGGACAATGTTCCTCCAGGCCTTCCTGTCCTCTACCATCTTCTGGAGTCCATTTAAGCTCATGCCTACTGCTTCAGTGATTCCATCCAGCCACCTCATTCTCTGTCATCCCCTTCTTCTATTGCTCTCAATCTTACCCAGCATTAGGTTCTTCTCCAGTGAGTCCTTCCTTCTCATTAGGTGGCCAAAGTACTTGAGTTTCAGCTTCAGGATCTGGCCTTCTAAAGAGCAGTCTGGGTTGATTTCCTCTAGGACTGACTGGTTTGATCACCTTGCAGTCCAGGGGACTCGTAGGAGTCTTCTCCACCACCGTAGTTCAAAGGCCTCAGTTCTTTGCGCTCAGCCTTTCTTATGGTCCAACTTTCACAGCCATGCATTGCAACTGGGAAAACCATGGCCTTGATTATATGTACTTTTGTTGGCAGGATGATGTCTCTGATTTTTAGTATGCTGTCTAGATTTGCCATAGCTTTCTTCCCCAGGAGCAAGTGTCTTTTAATTTTTTGGCTGCAGTCCCCATCTGCAGTGATCTTGGAGCCCAGGAAGATAAAATCTGTCACTACCTCCATTTCTTCCCCATCTATTTACCAGGAATTGAGAGGGCTGGATGCCATGATCTTGGTTTCTTAATATTGAGTTTCAAGCCAACTTTTGCACTCTCCTTTTTCATCTGCATCAAGAGGCTCTTTAGTTCCTCTTCATTTTCTGCCATTAGAGAATCACTATGTAGGCATAAATGAACTAAGTACTACCATCCTTGATTGCTGTTGACCCTTATCTAACTCTAACCAAGTGCTGGCAGTTCATTGAGAAGATTCCTGTGCACAGGCTTTTAGCAATAAATAGATTGAACTTTCATGTGTGAAGCTGGTCTTTCATGACTGACAATAAGCTTCCATTGAATGTCTTCCGAAAGAAATCACAGCAGGGTACATAATGTATTTTTGCAATGCTTGACGGTTATAAGAAATGGATGTGTGTTGTAACAGATGGGTACTATGAAGATTTTGGGGTTCTCCATTTTTAAAATGCAGTGAAACTCTGATTTACTAAGCTTTGATTCAACAGGTTTTGCAGGTAATAGACCAAATTTAAATACTATATTTATATACACAAACACACACGCATATCATGATATCATTACACAAATTATATAAATGACATGTTTTGTATCTATGTAATTCATATAAAGACATCATTATTTTCTTAATTATGCCATCATGGCAATTGTCATAAATGAATATGAATGATGTAATTTGTGTCATTTGTATCATACCAGTAGTTTGCAATTTAATTCAGCAACAGTCTTCATCAGCACATGTTTATCCAAGTCAGTTTCAGAGCTAATGGTTGCATTTACACAGATAGCAAATCTTAGTTTCGTTATAATCCTGGTTGTTTTGGTGGCCAGGATGGTGTACTCAAAATTGGCAACTAGGTTTCATGCCATTTTGAAGCACAAAAATACAACAAAATTGCAATGGAAGATTAAAATAGAATTAAAACCATATAAAACAAACCAAAGATAAATCCAAAAACTGTGCTTTGTCCAACCTCAGCATCCACTCCCAAATTCCTGATCCTGCCAGTCTTTGCTTCAGCTGAAATATTAAATGTGGCTCCCAAGAGTGAAACAATATCCATCACTGTCTTAGGTTACATATATCTTCACCTCCAAAAGCTCTTTTTGAAGGGTTTGCTCCTGTATCTGTGAAGTCTAGAATGATTATATAGCACTTCCGAAAGCATTAGTTCAACTGGAAGTATACGCCAGTAGTTCTTCAGAACTCGTTACTTATATGTCAGAGTAGCAGTGAAAAGGCTAGGGTCCCACACGTAGAAAAAACTGACCTTTTTTGTTAACCTCATTTGAGACCAGCAGGGTGATGTGAACTCTGAGTTCAAAATCCCAGGGATTGAAGTCTGAGTCATTTCAAATTCACTATCCCAGATTGTTAGGCAAAATAAAAAAGAAAAAATCCATTTGATAAGACCGCAGTTCAATCTGGTACCAAATTTCATTTTATGCTAGTCTATCCTCTTAGGGACGCAGCCCTCCATTTCCAGAACTTCAGGCCAGCCATCATACTTGTTTGTCTCCTTATCATTTTTCAAATACTGTAAAAGAAAAAAAAGAGAGGCAAAATTAGGCATTTGCTTTGGATAGTTATATTTTTCAACAGATAGGAATATGGATTCCACAAAATCAAAGCTCAATAGCTCAATAGCTGGTAGATATTTCTTCCTAAGTCAGTGAACCTTTTAGAGACCGAGTGCCCAAAAACTGCCCCTGCCCCCACTCCACCCCCTGCTCCGCCCCCACCCCACCTGCCCGCAGGGCCAATCACCGCCTTCAGGACCCGCCACGGATCGCCCAGGTAGCCCAGCAGCACCATGGCGGCCACGCCCTCTGCCCGTGCCCCACAGCATCAACTGTGTGCGATGGGGCATGAGGGCAGTCTTGTCTATGCTGCCTGACTGCCATGCCCTTGGCTGTGCTGCTCCATGTGGGCCACATTTGGGGGGGCAACTCTCCTCCAGGGGGGGCTGCTGGTGAGGAGGGGGTCATGGGGGGAGTCAAAGCTGGGGCAACGGTATGTGTGCCCACAGAGAGGGCTCTGAATGCCGCCTCTGGCACACGTGCCATAGGTTCGCCACCACTGTCCTAAGTATTACAGGACTGATTTTTATTTGGAGATGTAGAAATTGCATTTGTGTGATATAGCGTCATGCTACAGATGAGGCTATATAATAAACATACAGATATGTTTATTCAGGTCTCTTCTTTTTAGATCAGGGGTGTCAAACTGCCAACCCACGGGCCGGATGCGTCATCGGGAAACCACGCCCACTCCATTGCCGGCAATGGTGAAAAAGCTCCGATACATTGCGTGACGTCACGTGATATTGTGAGTTTGACATGTCTGTTTTAGATGTTAAAGCATCAAATGGTGACTTATAGCAAGGTTCTACGTGCATTAATTTAATAGCATCTGGTCTTTTCTGAGCAGTGGACGGAGTCCATATGGTCATTTCCAGCCTAGGTTTCCTCCTATGCCTTGGGAAGAACTAGTCCTCGACTTATGACTGGTAGTTTAGCAACTGTTCAAAGTTACAACAAATCTCCCCAGAGCTACTTAGGATCTAGTTTCAAAGTTCTGACAGCTCCCCCCCCCTGCGGTGATATGATTGCATTTTGGGCTCATGGCAACTGGCCTTCATTCACTACTGTTTGCAGTATCTCACAATCATATGGCTGCGAGTTACAAGATTTTTTTTTTTTTTGCCAGAAATCAACAAAAGGTCCATTGGATACAATGGGTTTGCTTAACTACCTCAGCATTTGCTTAATGATTATCCCCAAAAAGGTTGTCATGAGGTGTGGCTGCTTAATCACTGCCATTATTTATGACTGCAAATCCAATACTGTATCTACGGCAGGGGTGTCAAACTTGCGACGTCACGTGACGTCACAGACTGTATCGGGCCGATTTTGCCATGGCCGGCAATGGGGTGGGCACGGCTTCTGGATGACGCATCCGGCCCGCGGGCCAGCAGTTTGACACCCCTGATCTACAGTATTGAAGATTTTTGAACGATGCTAGCCTGCTCAGTTTTGTATATGTGTGTCAAAAAATGGGAGAAGAGGGGAAGGATCATGAGCTATCATTCATTCCTAACTTTTAAGATAAGGTTTAAATACTTCACATTTAAATAAAAATTGCCAAAAGGAAGCTGAGAAACACATCTATTCTACTGCTAATCTACTCTACTATCTAATCTATCTAATCTACTGCTTTGTTGGCAAATGTGTCCATGATGTGCATCTTCTTCATTGGGGGTACTATTTCCTGATATTCTTTTTTTAAAAAAATTAAGCATAATTCTGTTTACTCTGGAAGACCTTTACAGGGGCCTTTCTTTCTGCCAGTATTAAATTCTGTTTTGATGGAGATTTGTTTTTTTTCCCCCTTTTCTTTTATCTCCAGAGTAACATGGGAAACATATAGGACAGCAGAGTCCTATAAAGAAAGAAATAAGCTAAAGATTTAAAAGCTTTATTAGATTTTACATTGTATGAAGTAGGATTTTCGCCCCTGAGCAAAGAGACACTCATACACAGCCTGTGCTAAGCCTCCCTGGGCCTCTTCAATCCCTTGAGGTACCTTGCCCTCCTTACTTTTCTGTACTAATTCTCCACTCAGGGGCTGCTTCCCTCTCTGGGGGCTGATTGAAAGAATTACCTGCTGAAGGATTTCTGAAATCCCTTTGGTAGGATTTGAAATACTTTAGTAGGCAGCTCTTTCAGCCAGCCTCCAGAGATGACAGCAACCTGTAACTTTCCCTGCAGACTTCTCAATTCTGGGGCAGTTGGCAGAGAAGATTGCAAATGGTGATCACATGATCATGGGACACTTGGCAACTTATAAGTTGTAAGAGCAACAGGTTGCTAAGAACCCAGATTACATTCACATGACGGAGGTGGTGGTGTGGCATTTTGTGATGCTCAGATGCTTTGCAGGATGTAAAGTATCCTTTCTGAGGCCATTATTAATTCTAACCATTGCTAACTGAATGATCATAAATCGAAGATTACCTGCAGAGATAAAGACAGAGATGGAGGAAGAGCGATACAGAAATGTTAGCTTCTAATAGAAAGAGAGAAGCAGGCAAACCAGCCACAGGGCAATACGGCTCAAAATCTTAATTCCAGAGGTGTGAAGGAATGTGGGTTGGATTCAGAGAAGCAGAAGAATAAAAAGTAAAAGAGTTATAAAATAATATCTGACTCCTAGGAAAGTAGAAAGTATAAGAAAGGAACTTGAAACAATTCACTTTGAATTGTGCTAGGTATAAATTGAAGTAGAGAGAAGCTTGGGCAGATTCTGCTCACCACATGTATCCCAAGATACTTCAGCAACTCCTGTTTCTTACCCTTACCTAAATCTTAGGGCTGTCATGGGAACTGACCAGATTAGCCCAGTTTCAGAAGCTGACATTAACAGGGGATTTCCTTTTTGCCAAGAGAGGGAATTTCCTGCCCTGCTGTAGTCCTGATAGTCAATGGATTGGAGGGCGGCTTAGAATTTTTCTGATTCTGCCTTTTCCTTAAGTAACCAAATAAGAAACCATCTCTGCATGCGTCACTTGCCATTATAGTACATAGCTACTATTACCACAACACACCTGTTCAAATGGACTTTTGCTTTTGAGTCCACTCCCACCAAGGAATATCCAGTTGTCGCGAAAAGCCATCTGGGAAACATACTTGCTTCCTAAGTCAGAAAATAACTTCCGGGCTTCATCGTTTAGCCTGAGAGACAGAAAATGTCATGTTTTTTTTCTTCTTTAACACGCCATTGAATGCACAACAAGAAAAAACTTTCCACAGAAGTGTAGATATGTCTAAAGTTCAAACAAAGCAATGGGAGGAGTATAACAGCACCAGAATTAATAAACTGATCAATTCAGCATTTCATAAGTCAGCCTTTCAGAAAACAGAAGATGGCAGAAAATCTATCTATACGAAGCTCATTCAGACTGCAGTTAGTCTCTCCTCACTCTGTGTTAACCAAATCTGTTGCATATAATATTTTCTCTTTTAGCTATTACCATTCATCCATGCAACAGCTCTGTGGCTTTTTAAAAAGTTATATTGTTATACTAATGTCCTGTTAAGACCCTGGAATCATATTTCATAATGCAACCCTTCTTTGCTTTATCAAAACAGAATATTCGAGTTTGTTACTCCAGAAGTCAGGCAAATAATATAAATTCTCTTAGTTTCCTTCAGCTGTGTTACTGGCTTAGGAAGTACAGAATCTCCAACTACTTCAAAAGGGCAATTTATGAAGTGTATTCCATAACTTGCATGTTAATTGAAAGTAATGTGATTAACAAATAAAATAACATAGCGAATAAGTTCTCTCATAATACAACCTTGGGGCTGTATTCATCTTAGTTGCACTCATTTTGTCCCATACTCAATACTCAAGGGAATTCTAGACCAGGGGTCCCCAACCCCCCAGTTTGTGGACTGGTGTAGGGCTGTGGCATGCCAGAAACTGGGCTGCACAAACAAGCGAAGCCCCATCCACGGGATGCAGGCAGCACATGAAACCACGCCCCCCCTCTGGGCCACAGAAAAACCTCTTTCCATGGAACCAGTCCCTGGTGCCCAGAAGGTTGGGAGCCACTGCTGTTCTAGACCATCTGTCTTGTTTCCTCTTCATCTAAAGCAGGATGTTAACAGCTGAGAACTGATGTTACTGCTCTTAGTGTACTTTGGCAGGAGATGAGAAGAGCAGCATCATACTGAGGACCATGTAATGCTTACATCACTAACAGGAACTTTTAAATGTGGATCTCCTTATGCGTTATTTCTATGTCAACAAATTACACCACAAGACTAATAAAATGAAAGAAAGTACTTCCATAGTTTACTTACTTTGTTGCTGGGTCATCGTAAGAGGCAAGGAGCACAAGGGTGCCTTTCTTAATTCCTTTCATAAAATCCAGCAAAACTTTAATATCTTATGAAGAAACCGAGAAAAAAAGTTTGTGAGTTACTTATTATGAACTTCTGAGATATAAAAAATAAACCTAACAAAGGAGATCACAGTGTTTCTTAACAAATAATGTAACCCCCTCCCAGATAAAGCAACCAAATGTTATAGGTCAGCTTGTGCTTTCCATATGTTGGCTGCGCTGTATAGAATTCTAGAAACTGCATCTGGAGAAGGTTTCTGTGTGCAAGAATAATCCCATAGACTGATCCAACCTGTTTTGCTTTGTTTGAATTCCTGTGAGACAGGAACAATAGACTATGATGGAAATAGGTACAATAGACTACAATGGAAATAGATACAGTAGACTACAATAACTATAGAAATCTAATCTTTGAACTGCAGAAATAAGCTAACCATCTCAACAATGTTTTATGGAAATTTTCTTGTACTTGCAACTCCCCTTAACCCTCAGTGTTGCACTATTAATACACAACAGACTAACAAATTCACATACCTCCAGAATACATGTCAAAGCTATCTATTTTGATGAGCTGTCCTGTGGTTCCTGGAGATTTGAAATGAAACACAAGTTTTAATGAAAGATGTTTATAAAGTATGTAGACATAGTTCAGTCTCTGAAATGATGGAAAAATGAAATAAAACTGTCGAAGGCTAAAATTAATTGGTTATCAAAAGTGGAAAAGGTTTTCAATATGGGTGGAAATATACGATAAGAATTTTTTTTTTCCAGCATTCAATGCATTCTCCCTTTTGCCCTGTTGCTAAAACGGCTAAAGACAGCTTTTGTGCTTGTTCTTGGAGCATGGCCAAAATCTACAAAATGGATACAGATAATTTTAAAGGAAGTGAGCATTCAAAGTATGAGGAACATGTAACTCCTTCAAGGACAAAGAAGGGTAAGTTTTCCAGGATGTTGAAACTACTGATAAAAAGAATTGCTTCTTATAGGCATACAGTTCTCCTGCTTTGTTTCTGACTGAAAAATCTTGCAGATTTTTGAATCAATAGTAACAGTGACACTGTACCCCAAAGAAGGCAAATATGTAAGTCTCAAAATGTTGCCACTTTTTTCTAACAATATTTGAATCTTCCAGTTATCCGAATATAAATTGTGTATCCTTCACAAAAGTAAATAAGTAATCAAGTTCTGTAAAGCCTGACTTCATGCAACTTGTAGGAAAGTCTAGTAAATATTTAACAATATTAACTATTGGTACAGTTCCACCTATGGACACTTGCTACAAAGATTTCTTCCTCTTCAAAATGTGTTTGTTAAGTGAATAATTATCCCTTCCCCCCCCACCCCCGGGCTGCATTCTCCTTTCTAGCTCCCTTCTGTGGTTTCAGAGGCCTTTCCAACTTGTGGTAGTGGGAATTTTGAAAAACTCTGAGGAATACTTTAAGAGTTTGTTGTAAGTCCTGAAATGGATTTCACACAGTTCACTAACAAAAATACAATTTCAGAAATGGGAAATATCAAAGCAGGCCCACACATTCTATTGCATCATTCCCCATCTGCCTTTGCCCTTGCTAAAAACGCCACGCACCACCTCAGGCCAGCGAAACACTGCAATGCTCTTCTAGTGAATTTTGCATCACTCGACTCAGAAAAAAGTTGCGTGACAAACAACCACAAAAGCATAGCTGTCAATGCTGCTAACATTGTATGTTCTTGCTTTGACAACATATGGAGATGCAGCCTTATTCTTCCTTATGCTTTACTCTTAGAATTAGATGATACTGGGGGAGGAGGAGGAATGTGATGGGAGTTAGTTAGACATAACAATATTGTAATAGCATGTGAATTCAGTGTTTTTGAAATAAGAGATGATAAGAAATGGCCGGTTGAACAACTGGAGGGAAAGCCGGCATTTCAAACTAATTGGAGAATATGATTTATGACTGTTAATTGGAGAAGGGAATTGTGCTTTGATACTATGTGCTCAGGGGAGAGGAATTCAGATTTTGGCTTCAACTGTGTTAGTGCCGAAGCTATGCTACTCCAATAAAGATTCTTTAAGGTAAACAATGCCTCGAAGTTCTATGAAGAGTTTCATCTGTTGGAACCATGACAATAGCATTTTTTCTATACTGTAAACTACTTTTGCCTTGCAGGGATTACTTGAGAAACTACTAAATGTCAGGTATGAATAAAGCAGGTGACCTATTTGTGATTAGATCATGATCAAAACTGCACACAGCATAGCCACCTTTGTTGCTAGCTCAGATATGTTTCCTGATATATAGGCAAGATGGTGATAACACTGGTGATAGTACTACAGTGTGTACAATTCCACTACCTATGTGTACATCAGGCACATCATTTATATCTAGAGATATACTTTTTACTACTCCTTTTGGAGTAATTAGGGCAATTGTTCTTTCTTTACCCTGCTGCATTGTATCTCACCCATTCAAATTCTGCTCATTTATTTTTATTTACTAGGCTATTCCAGTCTTTATTGACTCAGAATGATACGGACTTTCTTCCCATGTATTGATTTTGAATAACTACAGGTTCCTTTTTTTAAGTACAAAGACAAGTGATATCTGATTAGACTTTCCTTTCTGATCTGCCCTCTCACTGTAGGAGACAGCCCAGAAATTTTTCTTTCACTACCTGTATCTATAGGTAGCACCTCTTGGTCTGCCTGCTCTTCCTTTTTTTTTTTTTTTGGTATTAACTTTTATTGAAGAATCTTTTTTACGGAAAGTTTGAATATTTAATCCTCTCACTCTAGTTATATTGTGGGTCCCTTCTGTCCACTCTCTATCCTTTCTAATCATTAAAACCAAGTTTGTTTTATTTTCCATTTTCATCAAAACAAAGGAGGGGGAGGGTTTTCTGGTCACTTGCAGATATATTGTTGTCTTTTCCCTAATCAAACAAATCAATTTTACCATCTCTGCACATTGTGTTATCTTCAACAACTGTTCCCTCGTTGTGGGGAGCCTCTTCCTTTATAAATAGAATTTATGATTAAGCTACAGAAAAGGTTTATGAAGTCTTTAACAGGGCTAAAGTTCATTGGGCTTGCCAGATGTCTGCACTATTTTCTCAAGGTTAGCTTAATTATCATAAAAATATTTATATTTTTTATATTGTTTTATGATTCCTGAGCATTGCCTGTTTTCTCTGGGGAAGAAAGGGTTCCGATTTTGCATCTGTTCAGAAAATGCTAGCTTATTTTGACCCTTGCCATAAAACTACTTATTTGATTTGCAAGCAGTTGTAAACTAGATCTATCTTTGCTTCACTTTGTCTTCACCAGTTACAGCCTGCAAACGTTTTGGGAGCTTATCTGCATTGTTTAGTGAGCCCAACACCAGAGCAGACCATTTTTGAAGGGTAGAAATGGATCATGTTGGAATCTTTGGCGCTGTCTGAACTTGGGTGTTTCTTTGCCTATCTAGATAACATCTTCCATGCAGATCAACATCATCAGTTGGGCACTGATGATGATAACTAGTTGGGTCATGGAATGTCTGCAAGTGAGCAACCAAGCTCAGAGAGAGCACCAAGGACTCCCTAGTTCAACCCTGGTCTGCATATAGTCTCTTCTATTGGAATGGGCGACTTTGTTCTTCACTTACCCACCTCCCATTGTAAATGTGACCTCTAGGCATTTTTAAGCATTCTTTTCCTTCTTATGTGCCTCAACTGCTCTTGTCTGCATTTCACTTTCTCAGAGCTAATTCTTGCAGTTCATTAACTATTTCACAGGGGCAGGAATAAACCCCATCTAAAACAATGATTACCAGGATTTCTAATATCTTCTAAATCTTATCAGTAACAGCACAGTGACTGTAACACTTGTCCTATAAATAGAAGATTGCTTATTTGAAACCTGGCAGAAGCATTGTGATGAAGTGAAATATATCAGCTAACTTGGAAAGGCATGCTTATGGTAACATAAATGGGAAAGGAGAATTCTGACCCTTAGCAATGGGGTGATGGGGAATATAAAGTGCTGTTATCTCTTCCTTCCTACAAACACATTGTTCACCCAGTTCAGTGATGGGAATGGGAATAAACCCTGAGTGAGAAATACTGAAATACTTCTTAGGAGGGAATATCCAATCAGAATGCTTGTCTCACTCATATGGAAACACAGGATGATAATGGTAGTACTACTTTCCCCAAAGTTATAGAGTAGCTAAGGCATTTTCGCTGGTTGCAATGAATCAGTATTGATTTGAAAATAGCACCATGTGTCTGACTAGCCATGTCCAGTAGCAGACAAAGGGAGAAATCTTCATATGATAAATGGCAAGCAAATCAATCAGTTCTAGAATATAAACTCAGATCATTTCAATACTGTACAGAAAGATTTCCCTAGTTGTTGAACTAATCCATTTCTTTCCTGTGGTTAGTAATCCTCATCTCCCTTCACCTGGGAATAGGAGGAAAATATATTTAATTAAACCCAAGCTACCTCAATTTGCATTTTTTTGCAACACAATTTCATTTTCATTGCAATTTTTCAACAAGCAGAAATGTTTCTGAGAGAAAAATCTATCACTTCTCTCCCTCTTTCTCTAACCTCTCTCTCATCTATCTATCTATATCTGTCTATCATCTCTGTCTATCTATCTATCTATCTATCTATCTATCTATCTATCTATCTATCTATCTATCTATCTATCATCTATCATCACCATCTATTTCTGATAACAGCAAACAGCAATGCATTATCAGTAGCAGCCCCTGCCCTGTGAAACATTGTTCCTCTTGAGATCTGGCAGAGCTCCACCTGCTTAGCTTTCCAGAAAGTCATTAAGAATTGGCTCCCCACTCCCAGAGGCATTGGAGAAGCAAAATTGGAACCCAGCGAACTTTATAGTTAGATAGATGCTGTTAACTGGGCACCAGTTTTTTCATGTTTGTTTGTTGACTTCTTTTATTCTTGTGTTTTTATTATTGCTGATAGCCACTCAGAGTTGTATCTGACAAGATAGTCCATCATATAAATCTAGCAAACAAACAAACAAACAAGAAAACAAATAATCCTAGGGAAACTGCACAATAACACCAGTCATCTGTCTGTAACCTCTTCTATGAAGAGATTCTCCTGTATAGTTTATGCTTTTTCATGGCTATGTGACCACTCCTGGGATTTAAGTAAAGAAACATGAAAAGTATGCTCTGCATACAAATATGCACTTCACCAAAATCATTAAAGCAGATTTCTTCTGGAGATGGCTAGAAGAATGCAGCTTTTCTATATCTCCTGATCTGCATCCATGCCTTTTATATGTTCTGACAACTGTATTATTTCTATCTAGACCAGACTCCCATATTCAGTGGGAAACAATACACTGAATAGTAAAAACATTTGCTTCAAAACAGCACTCCAGTTGGGAGCCTCAGTGATTTCAGAAGAAACAATCAAGGGAACAGAACAAGTCACACAGAATATATGCACTTCACCAAAACCATTAAAGCAGATTTCTTCTGGAGATGGCTAGATAAGAATGCAGCTTTTCTATATCTCCTGATCTGCATCCATGCCTTTTATATGTTCTGGCAACTGTATTATTTCTATCTAGACCAGACTCCCATATTCAGTGGGAAACAATACACTGAATAGTAAAAACATTTGCTTCAAAACAGCAGTTGGGAGCCTCAGTGATTTCAGAAGAAACAATCAAGGGAACAGAACAAGTCACACAGAATATGATTGAGTTTTTGGAAAAACTCACCGTTAATAAGTGCAATGTTCAAACCTCGACCAACATTATTTTTCACATTGCTCATTAATCTAAAAATGCAAAAGAAGACAGAGATTGAGAGTTGAAGTTCAACCAGCATGACTAGTAAATGCAAAGCCACAATCTATCAAATGAACATACAAATTGACTGAACTTACACATTGCCATCAAAGCATATAGAAGGGCCAACCACATTTGCTGCACCACTGATGATTTTGAATGAAAAAGTATGTTCAGGACAACTTCTTCTGTTATTGCACTTATTTTGTATTAATGGCATTTCTGGCAAGAAAATTCAGAAGGGATTAATATATATATGTATATGTATCCTGTAAGTTATACTATTTGAGAGATCTCCATTTCTCTGTTAATTGGGACCCATGTACCATGTCATCGACACAAACTCTGTACAGATAGTTCCCAATTTACAACCATTTAACAACCATTCAAAGCTATCATGGCACTGAAAAAAAGTACTTTACAATCAATCCTCCCACTTATGATTATCGCAGAATTCCCACAGGCTGTGTGATAAAAACTTGAGTGCTTGTATTTACAATGGTTGCAGTTTCCTGGTTTGGTGTGTGTGTGTGTCATATGATCACCATTCATAACCTTCCCAGCTGGTTTCTAACAAGCAAAGTCAATGGGGGGGGGGAGGGAGTCAGATTCTCTTAACAACCACACAATTCACTTACCAGCTGCAGTGGTCCACTTAAAAACCATGGCAAAACAGGTCATACAATTGTGCCTAACTCACTTAATTGCCTTGCTTAGCAATGGAAATTCTGGTTCCAGTTGTGATCATATGTCAAGGACTACCTGTATATTTCCCCCAAATATTTCCAATCATTTTATGGGTGCATGGGACCAAGAATGATATTGGCCATCTTAGGCTTTCTGTTGCACCTCCATTTTGCATTGTGATAGACCTTTCTTGTTTGTTTCCACACAGTGATGTCTCTCTTCTTTCTGAATGGTCAGGGCAAAGACTTGTTAGTAACTTTCTGCTGGAAACCATATCAACAACCTTAAATGTATTGAGATACCAGCTGACAGGGGCAAGGCCAGACTCTGGCTGTCTTAGGGCCACTACTGAGGTCTACTGTCTATTCCATTTGATAGGTCCAGTTGGACAATACTGACTAGAGCACTGCCTCCACCACAGCCCTACCAGGCATCATTGATGTAGAAAGGATGACAATGACTCCTCCAAATGTGGAGTCAGCCCTGCACCTGATGAGCAAAAGAAAGGAATTAGGTCTCAGACATCAATAGGTGAAACTCTATTAGTGTTAGTGATCATGTCTGAGTCTGAACTGGTCCTAAAAATACCATTGTTGGGGGTAGAATTTGGTAGTTTGGGTTAGATGAAAAAGGACCAGGTACACTAAGAAGGATTTCTTGGGCCTTTGTCTAAGGGACCAAGTATATGGGCTCCTTTCCTTTCTGAATTTAAATGGACTCCAGAAGATGGTAGAGGACAGAAAGACCTGGAGGAACATTGTCCATGGGGTCGCGACGGGTCGGACACGACTTCGCAATTAACAACAACAACAACATTTGTAAGGAAAGGAAAGAGAAAGAAGCCATTTTGTCCCGGCTCTTAATTGAGGGGGAAAATATCACAGCAGCTTTGTCTTCTCATCTTTACAAGAATGGAGACAAAGATGTGCATGAAGAAGAATGTTGGCTGGAACAAGGAGAAGGAAAGTAGATGTTGAATATTCTGGGGATGACCAATGTTTCTTCTCAAGGGTTTTGTCCTGTAAAACCATAACCACAGAAAACTGAGAGCTGCAGAACTAGTGTTCTGATATAAAGATAAAACAAGAGTAAAAAAGAGAAAGAAATAATACTGAAAGAAATGTACTCACTTTTACTTGATTCAGTGTAGGACCCTGCAGAAGCCATCAGAAAAGACAAAATAGAATATTTTGAATCAGATTAGAATCAGCTCTCTTACTGATTGTTTTATGAATGGATCTGAGACTCTCCGGAATAAGAGGGACCAAAACTTTTTGGCCTCATTCATTTAAAAGTTGACCACTTAAAACTATGCTATGGATTATAGTATAGATAGTAAAAGTTCCCTGTCCCCAGAAAAAAAATTTCTGAGGTAACTCTCATGCTTTGTAAGCAAAGAAAAGCTTTGCCTCACAAAATCCCAGATTTTTTTTGTTAAAAGTAAGAGATAATGGAAATAGATATTGCATGCTTCCATGATTCATCAAAATAGATACAATAAGGTAGGAAGAATAACAATTTTCTCTCAATGTCTAGTGGCTTGAAGAATTCACTTTTTTCTCTATATTTAAATAAGATGTTATCACTAGGACTCCTAAAGGATTATTTACAAATTTAAATAATTTATCTCTTTAATTTCCCACTTATTTCCCATAATTGAAATGATAAGCTCTAATAATTTAATTGCATAACATGGCATGAATGCATATGTGAACATTTTTACTGTACTTGAAAGATGAAGATTTTTTTTTTGCAGTGTTTCCCTTTTTTATTTCCTTCTCTTTTTATGTATATAATAAAACATATGAAAGAGATACTATTACACTGAAGTTTGACTAGTCTGGGGTTGGGTATTTCAGATTGTGTTGATGAAATTCAGCAGCAAACAGCAGAATGTCAATGATACAATTTATCACCACTTTAAAGTTAGGGAGAACTGAAGAGAAGCAATGGGATTAATTGGTCTCCAGAAGACCTTCATTTCCACTGTAAAACTGCAAAAGTTACCCAAGCCTCATCTACTACAAAACCCAGCTTGACTTTGGAGACCAACAATAGGATTGTGTGAGACTTCAGTCTTCTACTCTGATGTCTGAAAACAGGGAAGAAAGTATAGGTGTAGGCATAAGCTCTCAAAATCCTCTCTGTGCTTTATCTTCCTAGGTTGAGTAAAAAATACCCAAAGGGTCTTCTATTTGTACTTGCTGCATCTTAAGTGGAAACAAAACGTACTAGAGAAAGTTATTAAAGGAAGCTTCTCAATTTGGTGAAAATTCTACCAATATTCACAAGTCGAATCTCCTTTAGATGTTTCTCCTTGACTTGCAAGGGTATAAGTGGATAGAAACCAGGAAATGGATTATTGAATTTGCATGTAAAAAAGAATATATATCTTTCATAACTTTTAACCCTGAGATGATATGAGCATAACAGAACATTTATTTATTAACTCATATTTCTACCTAGCCACAATTCAAAGACTCTCACTGGCTGATATAAGCAAATATTTGCAAATTGATGCAGAAATTCAGATGATTTATTTGTTAAACATTTTCTCTACTGGTTCCTATAAAAAGAAAATATCAAAGCAGTTTAATCGGTACAAAACCATATAAAGCAGGAAAAGAGGAAGGAACAAGAAACATTATCCCGGTACTACACTGTAGCAGAAGCCAGAAACAGCATCTGGTCCAAGGGTTCCCACATATCCCCAATCAAGTCAAATAATTTCAGGGATAAATTTCAGCGAAGGAAACGCTGTTCACATGTTGACCCTTCTTTCCAACCACCCTCTATCCATCTTTCTCTGCTCATATGAAAGCTATTACTATAATCAGTCTTCTTCTGCAAGTCTATTTCTGTTTACAGTGGGAAGAAAAGACAACCCTTTCTAATTTTTCTTAGAGGAATGGGGAATGTTTAATCCCAGTCATGTCTTAAATATGGAAAGAGGATTTGATCTTTTCCTATAAGAACATGAGCCTGGGGAAGTTGTAGGAGAAGACCTGCTTTGCATTATGGTAACAACAACAACAACAAAAAAGATATAAGTCCAATAGCCCTTTTCTGACACATTTTGACAAACGCCACACATTTTTGTGAGTTGCAGCTCATTTCATCTAATTAAATTAAATCAGAAAAAGGAACTATCAGGATCCTCCTTATTTCCCACCATCCTCAGTATTACTACTAGCAGTATTCCAGTATTTGAGGGGCTGCCAGAAAGAAAAAGGAATCAATTTATTTTCCAAAGCATCAGAAGGCAAGACAAGAAAAATGGATGGAAACTAATCAAGGAGAAAAGCAACCTGGAATTAAGGAGAAACTTCCTAACACTGAGGACAATTAACCAGTGGAACAGCTTGTTGTCAGAAGTTGTGGGTGCTCCATCACTGGAGGTTTTTAAGAAGAGACTGGACAGCCATTTGTCTGAAATTGTATAGGGTCTCCTACTTGAGCAGGGGTTGGACTAGAAGACCTCCAAGGTTCCTTCCAGCTCTATTCTGATTGATTATTGATTGATTGACCTATGCCCTTTCATGGCCTTATTGAGTTCTAGGGGAAGAAGAAATAAGGATTCCACCATCTGAGTACATTAATTAGTAGCCTGCTAATTTGAGGGCATGATTGTCAGAGTTGTTCACTGATTCAATCATGGTGTTAATGAACAGATTAAACAGGGAAGGTTGATAAATATACACCCCTCACTGTATATTTATCAACACAGAGAATAACTTTACACCTGACTCTCAAAGAGTAATTAATGCTTTGTTTAAGTATCAAATAAAGTAGATATATCTCATAATAGTCTTTAGAGGTTATCCAGAAAATGTTCCTGTTGATAGAATCAAATAAATAATTTTCTGCAGTAAATCAGATGCAACTCTTTTTTCCCCCTCCCATTTGCTAAAAAAGAATTGGTGGAGAAAAAAGAAGTTGGGCCTGTTGAGGAAACATTTTGGGAAACTATTTTGGGCTATACTTAGCTATGGAACAGAGACTTCTCCTGATTGTTGCAGAGAGAGGATCATCATTAGAAGAAAATATTTATAGCTCAGGATTGAAGTGTGAGGTCCTTGGTGCTCTCTGAGCTTGGTTGTTTTATTGCAGATGTTTCATTACCCACCTAGATAGTACAGCAAACCTCTCTCCCTTTAGGCACTGATGATGTTACAGCATCTAGTTGTGTAATTAGATGCTGTAATGTCATTTAGATTAGTTAGAGTGCAGTACTGCAGGCCACTTTAGCTGACTGTGTTCAGCAGGTCAGCGGTTCAAATCTCACCGGCTCAAGGTTGACTCAGCCTTCCATCCTTCCGAGGTAGGTAAAATGAGGACCCAGAGTGTTGGGGGCAATGTAATATATATATATATATATATATATATATATATATATATATATATATATATATATATATATATGTATACATTGCTTACTGGTGTACACTGCTTAGAGAGTGCTTGCACTTAAAGCGGTATATAAGTCTCATAAATAAATAAATAAATAACCAAGCTCAGAGAGCACCAAGGACTTCACAGAAAGGGATTATAGTTTACTTCTCTAAGTTAAGACACACTTCTCTTGTTTCATAGCAGAGAGAAGGAAGCAGGCTCCCTTTTAGAAGCCACCAGTCCTTCAGAAGAAGTCTCTCCAACCTTGGCAACTTTAAGATTTGTGAACTTCAACTACCAGAATTCCCCAGCCAGCATGGTTGATTGAGGAATTTTGGGAATTGAAGTCCACAAGTCTTAAAGTTGCCAAGATTGAAGACCCCCGCTTTAGAAAAATGTATCCTACCACCTTCTTTATCTCCAAGTAGCTCATTATGCATGATAGTGGGGGACTGATACAATTCTGGGAAGAGCAGAAAGGGAAATGATTGAATTTCATTCTGCTTTGTAGCCAGCATGGAGGCAAAGTAAATATGTCAAGCAGAGAAACCATACTTCCCAGGACTACAGTTGAGATTAAAAGGATGGAAAACAGCAAGAGAAACTCTTTTCCTTTTTCCTGGTGTTTCATCTGGAAGAGCCTATTGGGCAAAAGAAGAAGGAAAAAGATGGAGTGGAGAGGAAAGAACTATAATTTATTATAACTTACTCAGCCATGTCTTCATATTGATTGAGTTCATGCTTGTGTTCTTCAAATAGGTGCTGGCAAAAAGCCAGGTTGAAACTAAGGTAAACAGCACCACCACAATCCTCAGCACACCTAGGCCAGAAGGAGGACAAAGCTGGGTGTGTTACTGAATAAACTCATAAAAATTAATCCTTTCTCTGCACCTCTAAGGTTAGTCAAATAAAGCACGACTGTCTAGAACTGGCATGCCATGGATGAATTGATCTTTTTCAGCTAATAAATAGCAGAAACTCTTCTAATATTGTCTATTCTCAATGGCAGCAAGAATCCAAAATCTCCGGCAGAAGACTGCATCTCCTTTTATGTGTCATCTCACTTCTATGCAATCTATTCAACAGTCCATGGTTAAAATGATCCATGGCTTATGACTTGTTCAACCTCTGCCAAGATTTATGCATTCTACCAGGTCATACTGTGATTTGTTTGAATTTTGGGAATTATAAACCATGGCTTATGGCTTGGCATGAGGTGTAAAACCAACCACCAAGTCATTATGCAGCTATTCATTAATCAACCAATAAACAAGGATGAGACGATGGAGAATGAATGGTCCTCTGAATAAAGGAGATCAGAATGGAGAAAGTAGATAAGGCAAAACTAGGTCAGGGCTAAACCCAAGTGCTAAATTCAGTCAGGGCTAAACCCAAGTGCTAAATTCAGTCCTTTATATTTTCAAATAGCACTGGATAACTTTCTTCACAAAACCCTGAAAAATTAACAATGATGAGCTACCTGTTTTTGGAAGGACTATCATAACCAGCTTGTGCAAAGACAGAGATAGTAAGGAGGAGAAGGAGAAGCAGCTACAGATTTCTGAAAGTAGAAATACACATAACATCTTAATCTAGGGAAAATATTAAGGTCCCCAAGAATGGAACCCTTCCGTTCATTCACTGGATCCCTATTTAACACAGCATGCTTGAACAAGCTGAAGCAAACCCATTAAAAGAGAAGCAAAGACAGTTAAAATTGTTTTACGCTGTAGCAAAGCTTTATTTCAGTTGATGAGCCTTGGAATCTTTCTACAGAATACATTTTGTACCAACCCAAGTTAGAATTTTCCAAGTCATTTACTCAAGGAGACAATCCACGTACTTGATTATTCCAGCTTCTTGACAAATGCTAGGTGATATCAACTTTGGGAGGTGCATATTTTATGTTTCTGTTTTAATTACTCTTGCATGCCATAAGGAATGCCATGGGTGTTACAGTTTAGAAGTCAAACAAATAATCAGATGTCCGTTGGGAAGAAGGGCACAAAATGCCATTTTCTATTCATTTGCCACCCAGGGGATTTAAAATTCAAATCAGCCCATCCAGACAGGTGGACCACCGGCTGAGACAGAGAGAATAGTGGCCAATATATCACCATGGGCTAGAATAAGGACTGCTAGAGAGCACAAAGTACAGTTCCTTTGGGCCAATAATTCATTCTCAACCTGTAATGTTTTGGGGAAATGATCTTGGGAGATGGGGAAGAGTTACAGCCAGTCAGAGGTGAGGCAGCTTAGCCCGCAGCAGGAATATTGCTGTAGCAAGTGGCACAGACTGTCTCTAACACCTTGGGCTGTTAAGGGGGATAATCCACTTTCAGAGTTGCGGGATTCTGTTAATGTAGCCTTACAATAAAGTCGAATTTGGTCATATTTCCTGTCTAGACCATTACACAAGGCTGACACAGCTGCTTCTAATTAATATGGTGGTAGGGGTAATGGGAGGAAAATTAAGCCAACCCTGCAACCGTAACTCAAATCCTCTGCCTGCTTTTTCCTTTCCAAGATCTTTTATCTGATCCTGAAAGAGAAGGAACTTTGAAGTCGGACAATATTCTAGATCTTTACAAAGTTGTTGGACTAATTAGTTCCCACACTCTGGGTGGGGACCCAGAAACTGTCCCTGTGTAATCAGTGCCTCAAATGAATGGGCAGCCACTAAAACGAATATTCAAAAAGCAGGGAGCTGCTGGACAGATTGTTCCTTTGGTGGCTTATTTAAAGAAGGATTTACATCTATCCATTGTGGAGACATGAACTATCCTCCTTTCAGCAGCAAAGCAATCTTTTGTCCACGGGAACATCTATTCTTGTGCAATCAGTGAGAAATAGACATTACATCTTTAGTTGGGCCAGAAGAAAGTCTGGGGCTTGCTTGAGTACAGAATATAGGAGTCAGGGATGGAAGTATGACTCCATGGGGATGCATGAAACTAAAACTAAAACAAAACAAAACAAAACAAAAAATAACAACCAAACTTTGCATGACCAGACACCAGTCCAATGTTAGATTGATGAAAATCCCTTCCATTTATTTACTTTCAAAGGGGAAAACCTGTATTGTAACTGTAGGCAGGCCTATGTGCAAATTGTTATTTTTTTTCTCCCTATTTCTGCTTTGTGTTTTGATAATGATGTTAGATTTTCTCAGTTGCCATGCTGGCAAAAGCTTTTTCTGATAGAATCAGGAATATCTGCTTCGTCTAAGGAGGTGACATCTGGGACTTTATAGACCAGTGGTTCTCAACCTGTGGGTCGGGAACCCATTTGGGGTCGAATGACCATTTCACAGGGGTCGCCAAACAACGCAGTCCGCCATTTTCCCCCCTTTTCCTTAGCTGTGCTACTCCCTTTTATTCTATTGGCTTTTGAAAGCCAATAGAATAGACTCTCTTGAATAGAGTCTAATTCTATTGGCTTTCAAAAGCTAATAGGAATTGTCCAGGCTGTCTCTGCCCTGCTGAGCCCGCCAAAAGTCCCATTCTGCAAACGGTGCTGCACCAGTTGAGTAGTCTTCGACTTACGACCGGTTGAGTAGTCCTCGACTTACGACCAGTTGGGGGTCGCGGCATTAAAAAGGTTGAGAACCACTGTTATAGACTAACTCTTAAAATATCTGCTAAAATACCCCAGAAAGTGGAAGATGAATGGCAATGATCAGCTGTAAGAACTGAGAACAGAACTTTTGAATCTTTTTTCTTTCCATATTAGAGTCCCTGTGTTTCATTTCATTTCATTTCATTTTATTTTGATCCTGCCCATCTCATCTAAGTGACTCTGTTGCTTACCTGTTGCTCGCATATTTTTATTCCAGTGCAGTAAAAGATATACAGAAGCTTATCAGAAAGGACACCAGTCAATCTGTTGAAGCAAAAAGACCAAAGAACTTACTTGGAAGAATATTAACTGCTGTAGAATTAAGCAATATATTGTAGGATGCTGAGAGAGTTGTTTTAATATGTGAACAGTTCAAATATGTTCATAATTCTTCAGCATGAATGACATGAGCATTCACTGCTGATCGATAAACAATAGAAATTATTTTTATTTAATACATGATACCTCATCCTTCTTCAATCTATGGTATGTATAACTTTCTATAGGGCTATAATGAAGATTGGTTTAAGGACCATTGGTGAATTTCATGCCTGATCAAGGATTTCATACTAACCACTCCATGACACAAGTTGTTTTGAATATTGCTAAACTTGTGATGACTGGAATCCGGGGAGGCATCAGTTAAAAAAATACAAGATGGCAGCCACATCCATGTAAATTAAGCACCGACCCATTTAAAGTACATTGCGTATGCAATGCCTATAAGAAGGGCTTTGATTGTAAATTTGCAGCTTGACAGACACATTGTGGATGACCTGGCATTCAACGGGCCATCTCAGACAGCAAAATATTTTATGCTGACCTCATACAGATTAAAAGAAAAAACCTACTATGATACTTAAGAGCAGCCAGGCATTGTTTATTGTTTCTAGTTCTTTATAACTTTTATTGTTCTCTCCTGGCAGTTTCCTGATTTTTTTTTTAATCCCCTAGCAAAACACTTCTATTTTAATTGTTTTTAAAACTAATGAATAAAACAAAATATAGAAAGGGGATACTGAGATTTTTTCTTCTCCAGTTCACTTTTTCTTATGTTCTCAACTTCCTTTAGTTCTCAACTTTTTATTCACAAGGGACCCCCTTTAAATACCTTTTGTGGCCACAGACCATGGCCATGGACCCTTAAAACTTAGCTCAAGGTTTAAATCATAACATTTCTTCAAGCCTTTGTGGACCCCCCCCTGTGATGACATCACAACCCCCAGGGATTCACTGGACTAGAACACCTCCAAAGTCCCTTCCAGCTCTACTCTGATTGAAATTGAGAAAAACAAGATAGGATGAGACTTTGAGAGTTGGACACTAATGAAAACTAGAAAAATTAAATTATTTAATTGTTCTTCTTACTATTAAAGAAGAACACTTAAATTCAACTTACAAATACAGAATAAAGCAAAATACGTTAATATTGGACACACTGATGGATATTTTGAGCAATGGATCCAGTCGTTAATTTAAAAAGTGTCTGCCTATATAGATAGACTCTATTTAACAAGTGTTATGGAAGAGGACCCTGTCTTATTTATTTCATTTATTGAGACTGATTTGAAAGTGGATTTAAAAATGACAGGATATAAGAAACATCAAAAAAATATTGCACTATGCATGCAAAAGTACATTGTCTTAATAACTAAAAAGGGATATGCAAATAAGAAGAAAGTAACCTGGATGATGTAAGCCATTTTCTAATGCATTTTTATTAATTATTTTAATCATAATGTGTATTTTTGAGCAGGCATTTTCCTAACGCATGTTCTCAGGGCGGGAGGGATGATAAATGGCATTGCAAAATTCACAGAGCTGTGAGTTGCATACACATTTTCAAATGCAAAATTAAATGAGTTTATTGAAATATCTACCAAGCAGCTTTATCTCAATCTTCATTGTATCTGTCTCCACCTTAAAGCATATTATAATAGTTCTGGAGGGCAATGATTTGTAGTCTTGATTTGTTCCTTATATTCTGTTCCTTTTAATTTCTTCCTTATATTTCAGCATCCTTGTTTAGACAAGGAATGGATTTCCACTTGTGGATAACACAGCTGTGTTTACCTTTGTATTCAGTACTTTGATTACGCACTTAATTCAATTATTTTATCTCTTTAACCTTTGAATCTGAAGGCGTCAAAATGAAGCAGGATATCCTGTAAACCACCTTACAGCCCTTGTACTGCAAAAGAGTTACAACCAGTTCTCTGGGGAATAGAAAGAGGGAGTGGAAGGGGAAGAAAAGGAAAATAGAAAGAGCTAAACTCTTGTTGCTGTGAAGAAGCCTGTGCTTTGGTTTGTGTTAAAGAGTAAAAAGGCTGCATTAGGCAATAGTGTTTCCTAGTCACGTTTTTCCATCACTGTGCATTATCTTAAGCTGCCCATCCTCTTCAGTCTGAAAAAGCTCCATGGAAGAATCTTGAGATATAATTAAAGCTCTGAATGCCAGAAAAACTGCAGCCCACTAGAGAGATCACTGTGCAGTGAAACAGGACATCCATCCTTGGTCAACTCATACCAGCTTTCAAAATTTCACGGAATTTCTCATCACAACTTCGTTGTCTTCTTGCAGATGTTTATTGACCTGAGTAGGTAACATCTTCACTGCTAGAAGGAATGGGGTTTGCTCTCTTTTTACACACAGTACATGTAGGAGTCAAATATTTTGGCCATCTAATGAGAAGGAAGGACTCACTGGAAAAGAGCCTAATGTTGGGAAAGATTGTGGGCAATAGAAGAAGCGGACAACAGAGAATGAGGTGGCTGAATGGCATCACTGAAGCAGTAGGAGTGAGCTTAAATGGACTCCAGAAGATGGTAGAGGACAGGAAGGCCTGGAGGAATGTTGCCCATGGGGTCGTGATGGGTCGGACACGACTTTGCAACTAACAACAACAAGCTGTAGAAGATGACTAGGCTGAGCCCAAGGGAGGGGATCAAAGGCGTCATCAGCCATCAGTCCCTTCGCGCCCACAAGAGATCTAAGTTCAGCCCACCTTGAATTCCTGTGACTTTTATCTACCACCAATTGCTTGGACTATTAGTAGTTCAGATTCTTGTAGAGAGCTTTTCAATAAATCTTTATACCCATTTGAATTGCCTAGATCCTCTGATTTCCCTGGTATTTGACAGTAGCTTGCCCTGTCAGAGTTAGTGGGAGTATGGTTTCCTCCAAAGATATCACCTAAAAGCAATGGTCTAGGGCAGACATGTCAAACACAAGGCCCGGGGGCTGGATGCGGCCCGCGAAGTGGTTTCATGTGGCCCGCAAAGCCATCCAGGCCGGCTGGCCGGGAGCCAATGTACAATTTTGTGCTGGCCATCTATGCTGAAATGCATTCAGTCTCTCTCTGACTTTGCCCTGGTACCCATCATGAACAACCTGCCTAAAGAGAGCAAGCACAGCAGCAGCCTTGAGGACGAGGTAAGTGCAGCTGGACGCCCCGTTGGGGAAGTGGGGATGGCCTTGGTGCCACGGGTGCTCGAGGGCCAGGCTGGGCATTTGATCTCTGCTGCCCAGGGCTCCGGGCAGCCTGCACCACCATCCAGCCCCCCCATGGCCTGAGAGGAACAATGAGGCTCCTCCAGTGGACCATGCCTTGGCACTTGCCCTGGTTCCACCCCCTTCTGCCAGAGACCCTCAGATCTGTCCCACAGACACCCTTGATGCGAATGATGTAGAGCTGGCCACACCCACCCAGTAGGCCACACCCACTTCATCCATGCCCACCCAGTAGGCCATGCCCACCCAGTAGGTCACACCCACCCTGGCCACACCCACCCGGCCCCCTGACAGCAACTGCAATGCTGATGCGGCCCTCAATGAAATTGAGTTTGACATGTCTGGTCTAGGGTCTGCAATTTTGTAATGTCTTTTGCTTAACCTGAAGTAACCAGGAAGAGCTCTGTCCTGTAGAGACAGGCATTCTAAAAGTAGAGGCGCTGAACACAAATTAATTTTAAAATCCATTTCACCTCTTAAGTACGTCTCTTTGGAACACAGAATTTAGTCATGACATTTTTTTTTCTCTGTTGGAGCAAAACAATTCTAATACTCTTTGGCAAAATTATTTTCTTCCTCAAGCAATAGGATTATGACTAAACATCTATCTTTCTAAAACCTTTGTAGGCGCATCAGTTTAGACATTCAAGCACTGGCCCGTTATTTTTTTTTATTTCTGGACGTAACTAGAACATTTCATATACGTTTATTTACCTCATATATCTTTAAAGCAAAGGTGAGCCAATGACAGTCCTTAGTCTCATTTTTGCAATCCTCAACCTCCCCCCCACCCTTTCAAGCCCTGAAATTTGGAAAACCATTGATCTTGGATGGTGATGTTGCAAAAACCTGTAATGTGATCAGTGACATATTGATGGCCCTTCTTAATATCTCCTTGGATAGGAGATTCTGGGAGCTGAAATCAGAGTGTTAAGACTCAATATATCTCCTAACACAGTGATTTCAACTTCCAGACTTTCCTCTCTAAGAGTCATTTAGGGCCATCAATGTATCACTGATCACATCCTCTAGAGCAGTGGTGGCGAACCTTTTAGAGACTGAGTGCCCAAACTGCAACCCAAAACCCACTTATGTATCACCAAGTGCCAGGTGGGCGTGGCCCACTGGGTGGGCGTGGCTGTGGTGTTCATGGCAGACTGGGAGGGTGTGGCCAAGGTAGGCGTGGTCACCTTGATGTTGCTTGTGGGGAGGGATGACTGTGGGGGCCAGGCAGGGTTGGGGGAGATCCAGGGGGTTTCTGGCAGGTGGTGCAGTGGGCAGGAGGCTTGTCCTGTGGGGTGAGATGAGATAAGGCAAGGCAGGGTGGGGGTGCCATTGTCATAGGGCAAGGCGAGGCAGGGGCCAGGGCGGCTGCTACCTGACACCATCGGCCCCCACACACAGAGGCCAGGCAGTGCATGGGGGCTGATAGTGTCTGTCAGCAGCCACAGCCTGCCAGCCCCTCGACCGGCACTCTGGGGCTCCGCAGCACACCGCCAGCAGTTCAGAGAAGCCGCCTCTGAGCTGGACGGATGGCTGACAGCTGAGGAGACGATGCAATGGGTCGTACCCGGGAAAAGGAGAGCATGCGAGGCCAGGAGGGATGGGACAGGGGGGGAGGGAAACCAGCCGTGCTGGGATGCATCCGGCCACGTGGGACCTTGGTGATTTAGTTGGCAGCTGATTGAAGAAGGATGGTTGCTATCTCTGGGGCATGGTGCATGTGCCCACAGAAAGTGCTCTGAGTGTCACCTCTGGCACACGTGCCATAGGTTTGCCACCACTGCTCTAGAGTGAAGCTCTAGACATGTTTCCAATGTTAATATGACTTCTATCAAACTAAAAGTCTAATATGTCTTTTCATGGTTTCTGGGGTCTTACAGTCCAAAGAGATCACAGTTAAATCAGGCAAAGACTGATTTAGTCCAGCATCTGAATTCCATAGGTTAGTCAGATGCGAATGTGTGAATCTTAGAAGTAAGGTATGAAAGCAGCCATTCTTCCTTATTGCATTCTCCAGCAAATGATAAAAAGGCATAAAAATGACATAAGATAGCAGTTCTCAACCTGTGATCTTCAAATACTATTTCAGACAACTAACTGTCCAATCTCTTCTTAAAAACCTCCAGTGATGAAGCACGCACAACTTCTGGTGGCAAGGTGTTCCACTGATTAATTGTCCTCACTCTTAGGAAGTTTCTCCTTAATTCCAGTTTGCTTCTCTCCTTGATTAGTTTCCATCCATTGTTTTTTGTCCTGCCCTCTGGTGCTTTGGAAAATAGGTTGACTGCCTCCTCTTTGTGGCAACCTCTCAAATACTTGAATACTTGAATATTGCTACTATGTCCTCCCTAGTCCTTCTTTTTAAAAGAGAATTCAAAACAAAAGTATTTCCCCATGGGAAGGTGTTTTATAATTAATTCCAAAATCTTATTTCAAATTTGTTTAGACCTCTTGTACTTTTGTAACTTCCTAAAATCAAAGCTGTAATAATCCTTTTCTGGCTTATTTCTCCCTGTCTATTTTTAAAGTCCTGAAACTTGCATTAAGGTAAGATAAGGTAAGGTAAGATAAGATGAGCTAAGATGATAAGATAAGGCAAGATAAGGTAAGGTAAGGTAAGGTGAGGTGAGGTAAAGTGAGATGAGATGAGATAAGATAAGAGATAAGAGATGAGATAAGAGATAAGATTAGAGATAAGGTAAGATAAAACAAAATAAGGTAAAGTAAGATAAGATGAGATGAGATAAACTAAGGTACAACCAGATAAGTTAAGTTAAGTTGCTAAGAGATAAGAGATAATATAACCTTTATTGTCATTTTTTGCTGTGGCACATTGGCACACATTAAAAAACTGCTCAGAGAGTGCTGTAAAGTACTATGAAGCGGTATGTAAATCTAAGTGCTATTGCTAAGTGCTTATCTACTTACCAAGGAAGTTACTAGGTGCCCTATTCTTAGTGCCCCTGTCAATTGAAGTAAGGTTTCTAGCTGTGAGAGAGTAGTTATGGTCCATTTTTGGAATACTCTTTTCAGAGAAAGGCATGTGTGGCGTGCATTTTAATTTTAATTTGAGGGAGCCATTGGGAAAACAATTTTCTCTCCTCCCAGGCATCTCTATAGCTTTATAGAGAATTAGATTTTAAGCTCCTACTCTGCATTGTGACAGTGGATACCATGTTTTCTATCATTATTTAATTGCACTGCACTCCTTTAATTGCATTGAACTGCTTTGATGTTTTTTTTTTAGAAACATTTTTAGAAATTCTTAATGCTTTAAGTCACTTTACAATCTGCCCAGAGAACTTTGATCATTAGGTAATTAAAAATACAAGAAAGAATAATGAATAATAATAACTCTGCTGTTCAAGGCTAAACCCGCCGAATTTTACATTAATACAAATGCAAAGCTAAATTGCAGACATTTCACCCAGACAGACATCATTAATGGCAAGATGGAAAAACATGACCTCACTTCACCACAATGCTGAAAGGCAAACTGGGCTAAAATCTGATAAATAAATCTGATAAAATGATATTTTACTGCTAAATGTGAGGAAAACCTGGTGGACTAAGTGGGGAGAACAGCAAAAAATCACCCTACTAGGACATGAAAGTTTCAGAGAACTCAGGAATGTTCCGATTCTCCCCTGGACCTTCAGATGTGGCTATTGCAAGGGTAATCAGAACATTTCACAAAAGGGAATCTTCTGTAGTCTGTGGTGCCCCAGACAAAACAGGCTGGTTTTAGGGCCAGACCATGTCCAGAATATTATAACTGGCTTTCATTTCAGAGGACAGGCTTTAAAAAAGCTGCTGGACCACCACAAGAATGGCAGGATAGTGAAGACCATTCCATTCCCAGTGTGATAACTGATACCAATCCTAGTCAAAGTAAATAAGTGTTAATTCTTGACCACAGCTCGAATGATGAAATATGGGTGTTTTAATACCAACATAACAGGAAATCTTGGTATTGTGTGAAATAATTAAGGCATAGGACATCCAGATGCAATGACAGCACTATATCTAAAATTCCCAACTAGGAAAAATATTGGGATTTATAATTGAAACACATTGGCAGGATGCCATACGGGAATGGTTATTCGGCCATGACTTTGTCTAAAGTTGTAGTGAAAATAACAGTATCTATAACTGGATTCAGCAGAGACCCCCCCAATATGTCATCGCAATTTTTGGGCAAACCTGACAATATAATATGATCAGCTTGCAGATCAAAGTAGAATTCCAGAATTCACTGGATCCATCTGGATTACAGAATGAGCAGGGATGAAGCTTAGTAAGACCACACCTGGAATATTGCACCAATTTTCCTTACCACATTACAAAAAAGATGTTGAGACTCTGGAAAAAGTGCACAGAAGAGCAACTAAGATGATTAAAGGCCTGGAGACTAAAACATATGAAAATGGTTGCAGGACCTGGATATGGCTAATGTAAAGAAAAGAATGACCAGGGGTGACATGATAGCAGTATTCCAGTATTTGAGGTGCTGCCACAAAGAAGATGAGGTCAACTTACTTTCCAAAGCACCAAAGCACAGGACAAGAAAAAATGGATGAAAACTAATCAAGGAGAGAAGCAACCTGGAATTAAGGAGAAACTTCTTAACAGTGAGGACAATTAACTAGTAAAGCAGCTTGCCTTCAGAAGTTTTGGGTATTTCGTCATTGGAGGTTTTTAAGAAGAGACTGGACAGCCACTTGTCTGAAATTGTATATGGTTTCCTGCTTGAGCAGGGGGTTGGACTGGAAGACCTCCAAGGTCCCTTCCAGCTCTATTCCGATTGAAGCATATTATACAACAATCTGGAGTCAAATTTGGATGGAGATATGCGTACACTTCCCTGTTCTGTGCCTGACGCCTCCTTTCATCTCTTTCTGAACTCCATTTCTCTCTAAGATATGCTGCAGTGAAGAGTTAGAGTCATATGCCAAATGTTTGGAAATGATTTATAGCCTGGAGATTTGACATTATGCTGAAGTTCCTGTGATATCAGCCTAAGGGCTGAATATGGAATTAAAGCCACAGGGAGCAGATCCTGCTCTGTCTAAATTCAACCAAGGAATACAATTATGAAGAAACAAAGATGAAGATTGATGGGTATCAGCTTTCCAGGAACCTTAAATCAGTGACTTGAGTTAGGAAAATATTTATTCTTTTAAAAATGAATGGTAAAGAATTGATCTGGCCCTGTTCCTTGGGGAGGGACATGTACTCATGAATGTATGCATACAGTTCAGTTAAAAACAGATTTGAGTAATTCTTATCACAAGAGGTTTTGGGGCAATGCAAACAGCCACTTTTTAGTTTTTTGTTTAGTATTCTGTGTACTAAAACTGTGCATTCTCTTAATTTTGTTGTTTTTCTCTCTCCATGTTTTAATTTTTTGGAAACATCTTTGTATTTCTTGACTGCCAGGCATTACCAATTTGCAACAATTAAAGATCCCCAATCAGGGCATTTCTACTTGCCCTACTCAGGTGTCAAATCTATTTAGCAACACCTGACTTTGCATTCTAACAGCAACTTACAGAAGACAACAAGTGAATACGTACAAAACAGATATATGTTCTCACCTGTGGCGGTTTCAAGCTGTAAGCAGAGTAACACCGACTGGCTGAAAAGCTGACAACTGTAGCATTTCTCAAATCTCCTTCAGTTCACCGTTCAGATATGGCAAAACTTTTATTCTGCAAATAAATTACTGTTCAGCAAAGAAGTTGCTTGCTGATGCACCTGAATATGTTCCAAATAAAGCTGAGTGAAACTCACTGGGACTGTGACACCAGATCTACCAATAATTATCCAGCATTCTGCTGGGTCTTCTGTTCTTCTTCCTGTTCAGGAGGCTTAGTTCAGTTGTTCTGCCAGGATGTTGTCAGGCAGGTGTTTCACAACCATCTTTACTTCCTGGAGATTATTACTGAATGGGGCATGCTACTCAGAGAACCAGAACGTAACAAGTAAAAGGTGGGTCACTTTTTATGACTACGCTATAAATTAAATCCTACGGTAAGCCCAACCTCATTGAACATATGCCATGGTAAACAATTTCCTCAACTGAGGTATTGTGCAGCTCTCTTAGGAAATGTCAAACTACAATATATTAGTCAGAACAAGGAAATATTTCAGGTATTAATGAGAAAATCCAACAAATGAGAATATTGGTGTGACTAAAAAGAGGCAATTTTCTAATAATAATATAATAATAGTAGTAAAGTTGGAAGGGACCTTGGAGGTTATCTAGTCCAACCCCCTGCTCGGGCAGGAAACCCTACACCATTTTGGACAAATGGCTGTCCAGTCTCTTCTTAAAAACTTCCAGTGTTGGAGCATTTACTGCTTCTGGAGGCAGGCTGTTCCACTGATTGATTGTTCTCACTGTCAGGAAGTTTCTCCTTAGTTCTAGGTTGCTTCTCTCCTTGATTAGTTTCCACCCGTTGCTTCTTGTCCTGCCTTCAGGTGCTTTGGAAAATAGCTTAATTCCCTCTTCTTTATGGCAGCCCCTGAGATATTGGAATACTGCTATCATGTCCCCCCTTGTCCTTCTCTTCGTTAAACTAGACATACCCAATTCTAGCAACCGTTCCTTATATGTTTTAGCCTCCAGTCCCCTAATCATCTTTGTTGCTCTTCTCTGTACTCTTTCTAGAGTCTCAACATCTTTTTTACATCATGGTGACCAAAACTGGATGCAGTATTCCAAGTGTGGCCTTACCAAGACATTGAAGAGTGGTATTAATACTTCACGTGATCTTGATTCTATCCCTCTGTTAATGCAGCCTAGCACTGTGTTGGCCTTTTTGGCAGCTGCAGCACACTGCTGGCTCATATTTAGTGATTGTCTACTAGGACTCCGAGGTCCCTCTCACAGTTACTACTATTGAGCATGGTGCCACCTATGCTGTACTTGTGCATTTGGTTTTTCTTGCCTAAATGTAGAACCTTGCTTTTTTCACCATTTAATTTCATTTTGTTAGTTAGTGCCCAGTGTTCAAGTCTGTCCAGATCCTTCTGTATCTTAAGATTTGTCTCCCTGTATCAATAAAGGAGAATGTTTGTAGCACTGGGTTGAAATGAGGGGTCCTTGGTGTTCTTTGAGCTTGGTTGTTTTCTTGCAGGCATTTCATTATTAGCACTGCAAGCACTGAGGATGTTACCCAGTTTGAGTAATGAGATATTCTCTCTCTCTCATTCCTTGCTTACTTTCTTTAACATTACCTTTGGCTTTTTAGTCACCAAGATTGCTGATTTCCTTGTGGTTTCCAGTTCTTCTGCTCTCTGGGGATTCTGAATATATCATCAAACAGATCTTGAAGGAGACCTCTAACCAAGATTAACTGCACTTGATCCTGCTTTATTATGAACAGTCATTAGAAGTTGACAGATCAACTATCACTAGTTCCTAGAAATAAAAAGATAGGTGAAAAACAGGCTGAGGACACATACAGCCACTAACTACTGGTTTTATGGTTTCCAAAGATACCCAAGTTTGTCAAAATGTAGTGACAAAATGCAAATAGTAGTATAGGATTTTCTAGTAAGACCTGTTAACTGTCATGGTTCCGACAGATGAAACTCTTCAAAAGAACTTAGAGGCATTGTTTACCTTAAAGAATCTTTATTTTGAGTAGCATAACATCAGCAGTGTATAAACAAGCCAAAAACTGAATTTCCCTCCCCTGAGCACATAGTATCAAAGCACATTTCCCTCCTCCAATTAACTGTCATAAATCACATTCTCCAATTAGTTTGAAGCTGGCTTCCTCTCCAGTTCTCCAGCCCGGCCAAGTCCTTATCAGCTCTGGTTACAATAACCTTGTTTCTCATGCTAGGCTTGGTGATGTTATGTCTAGCTGGACTCTCGTTCACATCCCCCCCCCCAGCATTATCTAATTCTAAAAGCAAAAGGTAAAAGATGGCTACATTTCCATCTTTTGTCAATGCAAAAACATCCGATGTTAGCAGTGTTGACATTAACTCTCTAGTAAACTTAACGTACAATTAATTACTATGTATTTTTAGTCAAGCCGAAAGTCTCCATCATTTTCTCCAACACCATCATCACATCACCTTTTCCCTATTTGGGATCCTTGACTTCTGGAAATGAATGAGTGAGTGAGTGAGTGAGTGAGTGAGTGAATTGGTGACTTCCTACTCTCATCCAAAGGCTGCAAAAAAGTCATTCTAGCTTGAGTGCTGGCTAACTTTTAATGTAGTTACTTGACATTTCTTTCCTTTGTTCAAGGGGCATTAACAATCAACTTAAGGACATTCCAGGCTTAAATATTTCACATAATTACTAAACTTACCCATGTCTAAACTGCAACAAATTGTTTCACGTTTCCTGGATGTTGCAAATCATTGCACTCAAATGCCACCTACTTATTCTAAAAATATAAATTAGCAGATTCTTTTGTACTGTGACCTCTGTTCAACTTCGGACTGTAATTGAGTCAAGAATTACAATCATTAGTCATGGAAGTTATTCAGTGGGTCACTATGTGGCCACAACCAATTTTTACAACCTTTTCTATGGTGCTTTTTAAAGTAAACGTGGTGGTTGTTACATAAATCCATTTTCCCCAATTTGTCTGTTTTTTTGTTTTTTTTTAAAGTAAATGCTGGAAACCAGCAAAAAAAAGTCAAAAACCATGGTTGTAAATGTGATCCAGCTGCCAAGCTCCCAAAATGAAATTGTGTGAGAGCGACATGTGTATGTGTGTGTGTGTGTGTGTGTGTGTGTGTGCACGCCTTTGTGTGTACTGTCATTGAAACTTTGAAATCAGGTTGTATCTTTTTAGGGGAACGTTGTAACTTTGAACAGTCACTAATGACCAGTTGTTAAGGGAAAATTCTATGTAGAGGTTGTCCTCAGCTTAAGCACTGAACTGTTGCTAAGCAAGGCAATTGTTAAGTGATTTGTGACCCATTTTACAACTTTTTTTTGGTGCAATTGTACAATGAATCATTAACTTTTCTTGTCAGAAGCTAACTGGGAAGGTTGGAAATGGTGATAACCTGGTGCCGGGATAGTACAACCAACATAAGTACATGCCAGTTGCCAATCATTTGAATTTTGAACATGGGACCTTCCTGCAATAGTTGAAAGTGAAAGAACAGATCATAAATTACTTTTTTCAGTGGCATTATAACTTGAAGTAGTCACTAAATGGATGATTATAAGTTGAGGACTACCTGTAATCAATCATTTTCATATTAAATAGGTCCTTTTAACCACAATTATCATGTTAAGGTGCACAAATGTAACAGCATATCATGATTTAGGGTATAACTAAATCTTTATATCATAACTTTCTCAGATAGGCTTTTAAACTTTGCACACAGTGCAATGCTAATACTTTATTTATTATTATTATTATTATTAATAATAATAATAATAATAGTCATCTAGTCCAACACCCTGCTCAGGCAGAAAACCCTATACCAGTTCAGAGAAATGGTTGTCCAGTCTTTTCTTAAAAACTTCCAGTGTTGGAGCATTCACAGCTTCTGGAGGCAGGTTGTTCCACTGGTTAATTGTTCTAACTGTCAGGAAATTTCTCCTTAGTTCTAGGTTGCTTCTATCCTTGGTTAGTTTTCATCCATTGCTTCTTGTGCTTTGGAGAATAGCTTGACTCCCTCTTCTTTGTGGCAGCCCCTGAGATATTGGAACACTGCTATCATGTCACCCCTCATCCTATTCTTGCATACTACATTCCTTGTTAGCATTGTGTACAGTAGAAATGTGTGAAATTACCTTTAAGCCTATTTGGATAAGTGTATTGTGTATTGTGAGCTGTAGATATAATTTTGATTAAAGGGATTCCCTGGGACCTGAATATTATTTCAAGGATGCCTTTAGGATAAGAAAAATTAGAAAGGCTGATTTAGAGGAGTGTGTGAATGATACTGTAGCGAAAAATGGTGCTTAGCCTTCATCAATCCAGCTACAATCTTGGCAGAATGTTTAACTTCTGGACGGTCCCTGGAATCTGTTTAATTCTTGTTATACTGGTTTTCATCTCCCCTTATAAAAAAAAAACTTTCAACTGCTCCTAGCTTCACTGCTGCTTTTACCTCTCTGAAGAAAAGAATTTTATTACAATATTTTATTAGTTGTACGGCATTAACAATACCAGAGAAATGCTTTGAAAAAAAATGTAAAAATGGTCATCTAGCCATCACTAGGACATGCCAAGCCCACATTACATGTGAAATATATAAGGAAGCATCTATCAATAAATAAATATTGGCCATTACAATCAATGAAGTATTTAAACACTTCATTTTTGTAATGAATTGCCTTGTCTGCCACTTGTCTTCTTCTGAGTCTCTTTACTACAAAGATATATTTTTGTTACTTGCTGACTTGCATATAAATAATATTTTTCTATTGAAAAGATACAGATAGAAAGATTTACAGCTATTTGTTTAATGGCTGTTCCAAGTTGCAATGGCATCGAAAAAAGTGACTTATGACCTTTTTTCATGCTTACGACTATTGCAGCATCACCATGATCATGTGATTAAAATTCGGATGCTTGGCAACTGGCTTGTATTTATGACAGTTGCAGTGTCCCAGGCCCGTGTGATTTCCTTTGTGACTTTCTGACAAACAAAGCCAGATTCACTATGAACTGCAATGATTCACTTAACAACTGTAACAAGAAAGGTCATAAAATGGGGCAAACCTCACTTAACAGCTGTCTTACTTATCGACAGAAATTTTGGACACAGTTGTCATAAGTCAAGAATTTATTGTCATAAGTCGACAACTTATTTCCCTATATGAGCTCTGCAGGGGTGGATGGATGACACATATCCTGTGTGCCGGAAACGGACTGCAGATCATGATGTACGGGATTGTAGATCACTTACCTGACAGCATATATAAAGATATAGAATTGATGCTTGGATTTGTTGTTCCTTGTTATATCACTGTGACTTGGTCTGTTGTTTCTGATCAA